AAAGCACCCTAGTGGCTGAAAGCAGACGGCAAGACGTGCAACCTTGTCATTTGCCGTGTGCCATTCTCTAATAACTCATTTCAACGGTAAATATGGCGCCGTGTCAAGCTGGTTTTTATCCAAAATGAGTTTTGTGTATTAATCAATTGTAGTGTTAGCTATTTTATTTCAGATTTCCATAAGAATAAATTCATGCCGCTGAGATCGCAAATCCAATAAACTTAGTTTCTTCTAAATTTCTTTCAGCCGATGGCACATGTGCAGGAGTAAGATGTCACCCAGATGCTACATGCGAACCAAACTCGCCGCTCGGTCCAGTGTGCGTTTGTAAGGAGGGTTACCAAGGCGATGGTCGTAAATGTTCTGGTAATTTTTTTAATTAATTTTTTTTTTTTTAATTAAAGCTTCTTGTTTGCTGTCTTAGTCATTTAACCTTGACACCCCCACATCAATATGCATATTCTCTATACTACCCCTCATACCTTCCTGGGGTACTGACAAGTAGAATTTGTATGACCATCACCAGTTTCTCCGCTTTGTGATAAATTTTCACTATTCTCATGACCTTAAAGTTTGATTCAGCAGATACTGTGGGAAGAGATTAGATCTCAGTCGCTCTTAGGGGTTAAATGGTAAAGACTGGAAGCGCAGCCCTCAACAATTTGCATGAGCGTGGAATCTTGCGTTTTAATTTCTTCCGTCAAACTCAGTGAGGGCTACGAATCGAAGTCTTGTAGAACCAGTCTGCTACTTTTTGCAATCAGTAGAAGTTCACTGGCCGAACACCCGACATATTCCTTCTTCTTTTTTTTTTTTTTTTTTTTGCCGTGTACAATGTCCAATGGCTCTCCAGTCATTTTAAACGAACAAAGAATAGAGACCTCAGTTTCTTAAGGAAAAGTTTGTGCACACGAAAACTAAGTTCACGGGCTCACGGCATAAACTGCCGCACTTTTGTGTTAATTTTTTTTTATTATTTTTATTTTTATTTTAACTGGCTTTCCTAGTCGTTTATCGTTATTAGTTATTTATGTCCTAGAGGTTGAACTACAGGTTTGAGATGCGGGACATTGATGTCTGGGGAGATTTACTGTCCCCATACATTACAACAATACCCTAATTCTCCCAGTTAATACGAAAAAATTCGGAGACGAAATAAGGCAAAGTCAAAGCAAGGAGAATAGGAATCACAGTGCAAATATTTTTCAACCAATAAAAAGAGTTTTCCTTCGAGCCGGATTCGAACCAGCGACCTAAGGATGTCAATCAAATTAATTTCTACAGTCCTCCGCTCTACCAACTGAGCTATCGAAGGTAATCAGATATGAAATTGTTAGTATTTTTATTTTGATTCTTAAATGCAGAGATATCCGTTTGTGTCGTTACTGAACAAAATCTAGATGAATGTATGGAAAACACACCGACGAAACATAAATGTTAAATCACAATTTCAAGCGTCAATAGTTAAATTAATCAAAAAAGGAAATGAAAATGTTTAAAAAAAGTAGTGAAAAATGAAATTCTTCTATAAAATACCAGCGAAATGAAAAATTTCATTAAAATTCACTAAAATGAGTGACAATAAAATCCAATCAGCCACACAAACATTTCAAAAGTAACAAAAAAAGCCAAAAAAATTTCCTTCGAGCCGGATTCGAACCAGCGACCTAAGGATATCAATCAACGTCTCTACAGTCCTCCGCTCTACCAACTGAGCTATCGAAGGAGCAAGTACTTGTAAATGTGTTCTAGCAGAAATTAATCCGTAAAAATAACTAGAGGTCAGTTGGCGGATGTCTAAGTGGCCATTGGTATCAGTTTGAGTAAGAAGCGAAGCGAGTGAACAGCATAGCATTTGAAAATATAACAAGTGAATCAAATTTACATTGATACTTGTACCAATTATTCTAAAATACATTGTTCCTTGTTCATAGTTAAACGTCAACAACGACGACACGCTTAAGTCGTCCTTCCTTCTATGGTGTAAAGTGGCCCGCCGAAGAAGGAAAGCTTGTCTCTCCTACTGCAGGCTGTCATGTTATCTCTCTTTCCACATGAGCAGGTTAAAAAAATTCATTGTTTTTTTTGTTTCACAGATATTGATGAATGTAGCAACGGTGATGATAAGTGTCACCCAGAGGCTGACTGTGCAAACACTTTGGGATCCTACAACTGTTCATGTAACCTGGGTTTTGAAGGAGACGGATTCGACTGCAAACGTAAGTACATACTGATGCTTAGCAGATGATTAAAACCGAATGAATAAATTGACTGACTGACTGACAGACGGACCAACTGACTATTTGGCTTTCTGGCTGGCTTGTGACGACAAGTTGACCGACTGCCCGACTGACTGTCTTACTGAATGACTGAATGACTGACTGACTGACTGATTGGTTGAATGTCTAATGCTGGTTAATGGCCGAAGGGCTAACCGAGAAATGGTTTGATTGATTGATTGACCAATTGAGTGATTGACTGACAGACATTCCGATTGCTTGGCTAATTGTTGACCAATTGATTGATCGATGATTAATCAAAATTGTGATATGAAACTGAAAAGCAAAAGGGAACAATTTCCTTCGAGCCGGATTCGAACCAGCGACCTAAGGATGTCACTAGAGACCTCTACAGTCCTCCGCTCTACCAACTGAGCTATCGAAGGAATAGATGTTTTGGTATGTGTTCCAACAAAAATCAATTCGTAGATGGTGCTTTTTGTCATTTGGCAGATGTCGAAGTGGCCACCGGTGTCATTTTGAGTACGACATAATAAAATTAATCCTTCATTGATTGATTGATTGATTGATTGATTGACTAGTGACTAATTGATTGATTCTTAACAGCGGACGGCACATGCGCAGGAGTTGTGTGTGCGGCTGATGCCGAATGTATGACGTTGTCAAACGGTGACAAATTTTGTGAATGTATAGACGGTTTCTCAGGAGATGGTCTCAATTGTAGAGGTTAGTGCTGCCAAAATGTAATAGAATATGAAGTAGGACACCGACCTGGTCTGGGCTCAGTCATATGTGGGGCTTACATAGGGTTATATATCGCTATCCAGGGGATTAGTGATAACAAATTGTGTTAGCATTTTCCACTGGATAGAGATTTATCAAGTGGATTTATCTAACCTTTTAACAATTGGAGCCTGATGTAAATGAAATGTAGCGTTATGAAATGTATCATTTATTGTCGTGGTCTCAATTTATTATACTTAAAGTTACCAATCAGGAGAAGTCGTCTATCTGTCTGTTTTGTTTGTTCTTTTGCCTTTTTTGAAACCTTATTTATTTTTGGTGTCAGTTTTAATTTTATCAGCACTATTAATTTTCTGAATGAAAAGTGCAATTCGAAAGAAAAGAGTTTAATTGGAGCAGAAAACTGTAGTACGTTATAAACGAGATATCTTTGTTAAGAATGGTAATTGAGAACTCGATAGCAGTGTAATGACTAATGGTTTGGTATTTCTCTTTCCAGATATCGATGAATGCGCACAACCGATCCACAAATGCCACAGGAAGGCAACCTGCGTCAATCGACCTGGCACATACCTTTGCCGGTGTAAAATAGGGTACTTTGGCGATGGTTTCGACTGCTTAAGTAAGGAACAGCTATCGTAAGCGACTTTCCTTTTTAAGTACCATGGCAGTGGAACCAGGAGCCCCCTTCCGCCCTTTTAATGTAATTTAAAGGTGTTCGTCTCTTCTCATCCAAAAAAGCATCCGTCAAGAAATTGAAACAATATTTTGCGGTATAGTTAATGGTAAAGGAAGACTACCGCTCTATGGCTAACAGAATTAAGCTTGTGCCCGTATGTAGAAGCAGGAGAAGCACGAATAAACGTCATAAACTCGCTTAACTAAAGCTTAATATTTGAGGACTTTCAATAGGAGCCGTTCATAAGACCTTTTACCGCCGTCTGTTTAGCCTGCGTTCAGACTTTCTTGTGTAGGTTTTGCCTCACAGCCGCCTTTGGGGCACATCTTCTAGTACACTACTCATATAATAAGTCATTGATACTCCTTAAAACTTTCAAATCGTCTACGTCATGTTAGGTGATGGCACTTGTGAAGGTGCTGTGTGTGACCTCAATGCCGTCTGTGTGGCACTCAATGACAGCGCGGATCCGGAAAAAGAGTGTCGTTGTAAAGCTGGGTACACTGGAAAAGGAATAATCTGCAACGGTTAGTTGTTTGATTTAATAGAAAAATATGAATTTGACACAATCATTAGGGCTTTTATTTGGTAAGGGAACTGGTCTATTTCACACTGCTAAGTTGGAAAATGACAGTCTATCTATATTCACTGCAAGTGGATGTATTAGATGTCAGGTACCTTTCTCTTCTAAATTATATCATCCATGTCTCACAAAGGCATGTGTGTATATCAAAATTTGCTCGAACTAACGCAACGCCGTGGTCCTTGCAAGAGATTTCAGGAAGTACTTGGAGATGCGATTGCCACTTATTAGTTAAAAAAGCTTTGTCCTTTCTACAGATATAAACGAATGTCTGGATAAATCCGTCTGCCCTGAAAAAGCTGACTGTTTCAACTTGGCTGGGTCTTTTATGTGCAAATGTCTACCTGGATACAAGAAGGTTGCAGAAACTTGCAGAAGTGAGTGCTGCGTTAAACTGAAATAGAACACTTGCTTTGTAAGCAAAAGTAAATGTTTGACCTTAGGAGACGGTTAAAGCTGTGTCGTTTACTTGTAAGAAGATCTGGTGAAATTTTTGTCTCCATATTTCAGTAGATTTATCTGATTTTTTTTTCTAAATGCAGAGGATTGCAAACTTTGCCTAAATGGAGGCTCTTGCTCTGAAAACAACACATGCCTGTGCCCTCCTGGATTCTCTGGTCAGCGGTGCCAGTGGCGTAAGTATCAAAAGCGGAAGACAGAACCCAATTGGTTGAACATTTTGTATACATCAAGAAATGTTCCAAACACCGAAATGAAAAGGAATGTATCACAAGCAAACTAGACAAGACCAATACTAGGCATAGGAAGGGGAAAGATAACGGAGAAGAAGACGGAGTGAACAAACAAACTGACGAGAACTAAGCTAAGGAGCAAGCAAATAACAAATACAAAATTTTAAGAACCATTTAATGAGATAATGATACATATATATATATAAATCGTTAATTGGTTCTTAAAGTTTTTGATATGTACATAATTAAAAATCAGGTAATGGGTAATTAAAGAATCAGGCTAAAAGACCATGCATCGCCCAAAACATTCCATACATGCTTTAGTTTGGTTTTGTTGGATAAACTGACGGTTGAGATACACTGTTTGTCATAGTTTGACTATAACGGAGTTGAAGTAAATATTGTGCTCATAATTGCACTGGCATTGTTTGTTTATATCGATTCTTCTTTGTTTTAAGATGGAGACGCATCGCTTATCTTCAGTAAAGGAAACAGTATACAACGCATGTCTCTTCCTCCTAGACCTAACGGTATAGGTGTTATTTACCAGCGACCGGGCGCGGTACATGTGGGAATTGACTATGATTGTGTAGAACGGCGAGTGTACTGGACCGAGGTCACAAAAGGAGTCATTGTGCGCGCAAAATATGACGGAAGTGAAATGGAAGTTATTGTTGACAGCAAAGAAGTCGCAAGTCCAGAGGGTAAGAAGAAAGAGAAGTGTCTCTGTTATGTTAATTTGCCATCAGATAAAGAAGAATAGAGGCTTATACAAGGAAAGCTGCAAGGGACTATGATTGTATAGTCGCTTTAGTATGTTGTAATTAGCTTTAGCATTGTAATTTAGAATCTATTACGTTCTTTATAATATGTGCCCTGCTAGCTAAATGTCTCCATTCACGAGTGGGCATCTGTTTTCTTAAAGGCATTCCTGTTTGATACAGTAATACAGTTGTTGAGATCTGGTGAACAGAAAAAGTATTTGCGTACAGGGTGGGGCCACGTCACAGCCATCTTGCAGGGAAGTTGGAACACTTCTATTTCAACTCTGCGAGCCAACTTTGTACTGAGTAATATTGGAAATTTAGCCACCATTTAAAGCTACAATTCGATATATATACATATATCTATTTTTTTTGCTTGTTTTTGTTTTGTTTTGTTGTTGTTTTTTATTTGCCTAACGCGATTATTCAACGTACCTTTTATTTATTCGTTACATTTGACAATTCATACAGGGATTGCGGTTGACTGGATGGGAAGGAACATTTACTGGACAGACTCGTGGCTTGATGCTATTGAAGTGGCCAAGCTTAATGGCAGCCATAGACGTACGCTCGTCTCCTCTGACCTGGTTGATCCAAGGGCCATTATAGTCGATCCGCCAAATGGGTGAGTCTGAGTGAGCCATAGTTCAGCGGGTAACGTCTTCAAAACTAGTCCATTCCATTTTATCTTCTGATATTCTCCTATAATTCGAATTTCAAAACCATTAGTATCACAATTTTGATTGTTAATGGGGCAAACCTAAAAGAAGGATTTTGTACTGATATTTAGAGGTGTGATAAACACTAATCCTAACTCGAATTCTTTGTTAATGTTGATTTAATTTAGCAAGCAGTTAAAAGTAGTTGCATGTTCTCTTTTCATCTGCAAGTTTTCTTTACCGTCACTTTTTTCTTCTAGTAAAATGTACTGGGCCGATTGGAGCCGAAACCGACCAAAGATAGAAGTTGCAAACATGGATGGAACCGATAGGCGGATCGTTGTAAGCTCACAACTCAGTCTTCCAAATGGCTTAACAATTGTCCACTCAACAAACGAGCTATGCTACTCTGATGCCGGCATGTGGGCTATTTCCTGTGTAAATCTAGGAGACCTGAGCATGCGTAAAGCATATAATCCAGCTCCCTATCCGTTTGGTATAACCAATTTCAACAGGACTCTGTTCTGGACGGACTGGACTCTTGGAAGAATTCAGAGAATGGGAATGAACTCTAAATTCCCTGACAAGCCTTTAAGGTCATTTGTAGGAAGCAACGGGAAGATATTTCACATTAAAGCTGTCCAACCGTGTGGAAGGATTGGTAAGAAGTGATGAAGAGAGTGTGCTGTTGTAGAGGTGTGAAATATTATTGTAAACAACTTCTCAATTTCTTATTCTTTTGTTCTTGTTTTTATTTTTGTTTCTTTGTTGTTTTTTCGGTGTTATCTCGTTTTCGATCAGCCGCTGCCATCAAGAACCCATGTGCCGATGCAAATGGCGGCTGCCTGGGTTTGTGCCTCTTGAAGTCGAAAACCTACTCATGTTCATGCCCCGATGGACTTCATCTTGTAAGGGCTGGAAATGTAACCAAATGTCAAGGTATGATCAACGTGGAGAGCGTACGCATTGCCTTAAATTATGGAATATTTTTCTTGCTGGGACCAAATTAAAAGGGAAAGCAACAACAGAGTTTTACGTTAAAGGGGTTCAACGAAGAAAATTGTTTTTATTACATTTATTATGAGCTTTGACCATTTTCAATCAATGATTTTTGTGTGTGTGCGGTTGGGCTTAGCTCTACCCTAGCACACCATAAGCTAATGGTTTCGAGTCCTCCGTTTTCTTTTCAATATTTTGTGAAATTTTGATTACTGCAATTCTTGGCCTTGCCCATTACATAAGATTTCCGCTGAACCATTTGAATTCATATATTTTCTTTATTGCCATTCTTGTTGTTGCTTTCTTCAGAAAAATGTGACAGTGCTCTTGGAATGGAGAACGGCTTAATAAATGGTAAACAGCTCGTTGCACATTCAGCTTTGAATGCCCGTTACGGTGCATCACGTGCTCGACTGCACCTGAGAGAATGGCCTCAGGGGTGGAGTGCGCAGAAAAATGACCCGTCGCCATGGTTACAAATTGACTTGGGTGAGGTTCGCTCTGTAACCGCAGCAGCAACGCAGGGTTATGGGGAAGATAAGAAGAAACAATGGGTAAAGACGTATGCGCTCATGACATCCGTTGACGGAGAGAGATGGACCGTTTATAGGGAAGGAGGAAGGAAACGGGTAAGAGAAATAGGTTTTCTTTGCTAGTCATGTGTCCTTAATACCCTTCTGTTTGGTTTAGGAAGCGGCGAAAGCATACTTTGAGTAGTTCTTTGCCACGTGCAAAGTAAGCCTTAATCTGAAGAAGACTACAAAATATTTGCTTGTGAAGAATAAGAAAAAACAAACAAACAAAAGTAGCAGTAATAAGCCAAGAATGAAAAAGGACTGAACTGAAAGATAGAATTTTTCAAGACATGTAAACTAAAGCTTATTCTTTTTTGATATATTTGCGGCATAAAAAAAACACCTCTAACTTTGTTTAGCAAAAAAAGGCATCAAAGTAAGGAAACGTTCGCTGTATTTTGTCAATTGTTTCGTCAAAACTAAAACTCTTAAATGATAATTAGCAACACAATCATTACCATTATCATTGTAGTTATAAATTTTGTTATCGTTATTGTCATCATTTCGATTGTCAGTACTATTTCATATTAAATTTTCCGCTTATTGAATCAACTACAAGCTTGATTACATTGTTGCAAAATCATCAGGTTCTAGTTGAAGTTTAAACGACAATTTTAAAGGAAAGTGATTTCATGATGGGCTCTTCATAATCGAGACTGAAAGTGTGTATCAAGATGTCGTTCGAATGCAATTTATGATAAAGTTCGGGTACAAAGTGCGCGCCTTCAACGTGGTTGAAAGAGCGTGCTTTATCAGCGCACAAGAGCAATCGTCATGCTCCTCTGAATTCGACTGTCTTTCATTCATAAAACACACGCCTTAAGCAGTTTCTTTGCTAATTGTCATGAGAAAAACTTGCGTGTTTTTATGAGCCACAATTAGGCCGAATTTCACCGAACATTACACTTTCAGATTCTGTACAAAGAAACTTCAGGCATGTTTGATGGTTTGTGAACTTTGATGGTTTGACAGCTCTAGTTTTGTTCAACCAATCAAGAAGTGGGGACGCGACCACGTCTTGTGTTTCTCCTTACACTTCTTTCGTGCTCTTGCCGCTTCCTGCGTGTTTTACAACAGAATAGAGCACAGTCGAGGCTTCCCTTTTTAACTCGTGAATTGCGCGCATGCGCAAGAGCGAGTTATAGATACG